AATCACTTTATTCTGGTAACGGTCAATAGTAATGTCTGCTGTTGAACATGTATTAGTATGTGATAAGTTTAACATTTGATTTCACATAAACAGTGTGTTTTCAAGGATAAGAGACATAAGCTAACATCTGAAATATTAAGGGTAATGCTCAAGTAAAGTAGAGCAGCTGAATAATATTTAGTTATCTGCAGAGATATGTTCAGAGACTACTGTCCTACTTATGCTAGTGTTTATTTTTTTCTAAAATACCCCTATTAGCAGTACTTTGTAGCAATGGAAGCACTGGTGAACACAAGTGGTAGGCACAGCAACTGGTTTCATCGGGTAAGGTCTGGACTGTCTAGTGTTCTAGAAATGTCTAGACAGTTCTAGAAATAAGCTGTTTCCAGCACCTTGTTTATGCACTTTCTCTGACCCTTGTTGCTATAGGTGGGAACCTTCAGGTAAGTACTGCTGGTTTAGATGAGGAATCTGCTAAGTGTGTATGCACGTATATGTGTTGAGTTAATCACTTTCTATTAGGGAAAAGCTGAGGCAACTGCATGTGTTGTATTTACCGTAGATACAGACCTCTGTTGGTTACCTCTTCACTTTGTGCTTGTTCTGTAAGTGAGTTGTGGGCGCTGCAAACCGACATCTTCTTAATGAGCGCAAGCATTAGGAAGATATTGTATGGTGAGGTGAAAATTTTGCTGATGAACGTATATTGTGCTTTTCAATCCCTTCCTGTCTGTTCATCTGTCTCTTCCTGTTTTCTGAATCTGACCTTACCTGTTCTCAGTGTTACCTGTTATGTTATTACAGAGGTTATCTGAACCTCTGTAACTTTAAATGTGTATTAAAATTTAAATAAATGTGTTCTTAGGAAGGTTATAACAGAAACCACTAGTGAAGCAGCAGGTGGAATTCTGAAGTAAGAAATTTGTACTTGGCCATTAAGGTGCAGCTCAGAAGAATGCATTCTGATTGATAAAACATGTTTGTAGGCCACTTCTCAAAAAACCCCAACCAACCAAAAAAATCTGATTGCAGACGTTCTTGAATAAGAAAGAGTCTATTTCAATCCTTAAATGTTGATTGAAAAGGTAGGGAGGTACTTGTATTAGAAGTTGTTGCCTGTGCATAATGTTTACATCCTTTATAATTTGAGGAATTTGTTATTAAAGGGATATTTGTTATTACAGCATTTGGCGAGTAGAAGCAGTTTGAGGTACTGTATAGAAATTCAGGTCTCATTGCTAAAAAAAAAATAGGTCTTTGTTTCCAAGTGTAGAGCAGGAATAAGAGCACTCACAATTCAAACCGATGAATTGAAGGATTATCTCACTATGGTACAGTATGCTTCAGTTATGGCCTTTCTGAAGGACTATCTGCAGTTTCTCTGTTAATTATTAAGTTCTTAGCATTGCTCTTCTAGAGTACTTGCTTGTAATTTTGTGTTACAAGGTAGGGCACCTGGCAACTTGCAAATTAAGTTAATAATACACTTGACAGTGGCCATCATATGGAGTAGCTTCAGCTTTTTCCTGGCTGAGGTAGACTCGGTTGTCTGAAAGATGTAAATGTTGCATTCCCTCTCTGATACATTCTGATTTAGTCATATTTGTAGTGTAAGGTTTTGCTTCTCAGCATACCTGGAGAAATTTAGTTTGACCATTTTTGGTTTGAATTTCAACAAATTAACACTATTTTCTACATATTTTTTCTGAATTGGCAAATGCCCACAAATTACTAACTGCTTGATCTTTTAATAATTACTTTCAAAATCCTGGTTCCATTTTTGCAAAGGTTGGCAATTACAATAGCTGATACCATTTTGAGTACATTGTAGTGTATTGATGCTAAATTATCATACCAAAGTACTAATACTATTCTAAGGTATAATTGCTCTTCATCCTGTTTGTGGCTTTGGTTTTTGTTTTTTTTTTTTTTGAGAGCAAACCTGTTTTGACATTCATCATGACATTCAGATATTTTATTTTCTCTTTATCATTCTCTAAGATGAGAAAACTAAACGAGAGTATAAACAAATCAGAGGGAACTAAGAAAATCGTTAAGGGCCACTAGATGGGTTCTCATCTTTTGGGCACATGTTTGCAGTTGTAAAGTTAATGAAATAGGAAGAGCTTTTTCTTGCTTTTTAACACACTTCATATGTTAAAACTAGCTCCTCGTGTGGTATGACACCTGATTTAGGATCAAGCATCAGTGAGGAATGCATTTAAATTAGTCACAGGTCAGTGCTTCCCTTGGAACTTTGTTATTTTGCCTGACAGTTAAGAAAAGTTTGTACACAGCAGTATGTCAGCTCAAAGCACCAGTGGATAATTTAGTTTTATTATGTGTGTAACATCATCTATTTTCAGTTTCGTATACCAAAGAAGAAAACAAACACCAAATCAGAGGATGTTCAAGTTCAGTCCCCTTTGGCAAGGCTCCCAGGCTCCCACCATTGGGACTACCCTTTAAAAGAGGTAAAGAGAAGTTCTTTGCAGTGTAAAGTGCATAGGAGAATGTTATATGGGTTTTTTTGTTCTGTTTTGGAGGCTGGATTTTTTTCAATTTTGAGTGCTGCCTTGTGACCTGTATCTGACCCTGATTGTCTTGAGAAGAGGCAAGTGCGTAGATCTGTAACTGTATACTTGCAGGCAGATTTCAGAAATGGAAGTCTCAGTGCTGTATTGCCAGCCTAAAGTATTAAAAAGGAGAGTTGGTCTTCAGGTGTAGTTTGACATTATCTTTAAAATAATTAATTTAAAGGCAAATATAATTTTTTTTTTCAGTAATTGTCTTCTGATCACTGAACTTTAGATTGTATTCAGGTCACTTACCAAAGTTTTTGTTATGATACGGAAATAAATTTTACATTGAGTTTTCAATTAGTTGTTATTTGTATCCAAGAGCTGAAACTTTAAGAGAAAGTATTAAAAACTGTATGACTTTGACAGAATTTTAGGTGCTAATACGGAAATAACTAATTTCAGTATTACGACTGAAAGACTGCAAGTGTACTTATATGACATTTATCATAAATGAGCATCTTGATAATCTCAGTCACATATAGAACAAGCCGTTGCTTATATAAATCTGTTCCAAATTCAGTAAGCATTTTAAAAATACTGAGTTTTGGAATCATATTTTGCTACTGTTGACTCCTTCAGCTCAGTGTTGAGAGTTTGTTGCTGGTTTTAGTGCTTTCAGTATCATGGGTCTGGATAAATAGGCTGGATAAATCCCCACAGAGGAGTTAAAAAAAAACCTAGTGAGGGAAGTTAGGAATTTTTCTGGACTTACAATAGCAGTGGCAATGTGATCCAGGTCTCCTGGTAGGCCTGGTCATTTGAGCATGCTGTAATACAAACTCACTGCCTGGTTATGTTCCATACTGTTACTCTTAAAGTGAGCAGAACATCCAATTACAGTCAGGTTTTGGAGTTGGAAGTAATGTCTCCTGTGTTACAAGCAGTAGCTTCTTAGGCAGAGCCAGACAGCACTTACGTGGAATTCTTCATGTCTTTCTCTCTGCCTCTATAAAAACAGTGACTAGACTGGGTGAATTGAAAAATCTTTTTTCTTATTATTTTCTGTTTATTGTCTAACTTTCCATTTCTTATTTTTTCTTAGCAGTGTCTATATATTTCAGACTTTTCCGTGTGGTAGAGAGCTTTAACCCCTGACTAGTCTTTATATTCTACTTTACAAGAAAAGATTACTCACAAGGTATCATAATTAGAGGAAATATTACTGTTTTAACCATACAAAGGTCTGTCTTCATTGTAGTTAGTGTTGCCAGAGTTTGCTCCATGTTGTTTGAGAAATTTTGTGCAGCTTTCAGTGATTTGGGCGTATAGGTCTCTAACATGCTTGAAGATCAGTGTGATGAGATGAACTAGATGATGTTTGAAGGCAGGAGGAGGGGAAAGCACCTTCAAGGCAACTTCTTGCTGCCAGCTGTTTTAGTAATGAAGGTATTTTCTGTTACAAAGTTGGCAGCTATGGTAGGGAAAAGATTGATTTGGGATGCACCTTTCAGACTTCACTGAAGTATGTAAAATATGCATGGGCATGAATTTTTCAGATGCCCTTTCCCCCCCTACCCTTAAACAGAAATGAAGATAAGTTTGTCTGCTTTCAGCCTGACTGGCATAATTTTCAAACATCTGTTTGGTTTATTATCTTTTATATTACAAAAAAAGTGAGGAGAGATTAGGAGGAGGTAATGGCAGAGGGAGTTAGGTTTCTGGAATTGCAGAAATAGCTATGTGTGTTGGTGGGAGTTCACTTACTTAATTTGAAAATGCAAGTGCATTCTGGTAAAGTAAGAGAATTTGGAAAAATTGAAGTCTTGCTGCTGTGGGTTTTGCCACCTGCGTACCAAACCTTCAAATTCCTTTTCCTTCTCAAAATTTTATATCTTCGAGTGGAATATAATTTGGTTAAATCCATGGAGTTAAAGAAAGAAGTTATCTTGTCTATTTGTGATTCTGTAAAACAGGCTTAATATTTAAGTCCCTGTTTGGGATAGCCCTCCTTTAAATAGGGAAATAATTGAATTGTCCTGTATTGTCAAATTTCTTTAAGAGAAAAAAGTTGCATTCAAGATCAGGTGATACATGGGTGCCTTAAACCACGCAAATTCATTATTTGCAAAATTGTTGTATATACTCTTTGTGGCTCTGCATTATTTGATCAGTTGTGTTATTTCGAAGTCTGGCATTGTTCCCTTTTTCTAGTGTAATATCCATTATGACATAAATATGTCTATTGGAACCTGCCGATTTTATTTATTTTATTTCAGTGGAACTTAAGTGCCAACAGCAGAAAGCCTTCTACAAAAGGAAAAAGGCAAAAGGACTGCGACAGATGCGGCTCTAATGATGAAGAATCAATTGGGTAAGAAGTCACTTCAAAATTAATTCTTCCCTGTGTATTCAGAGTTTCATAGTCTTTCTTGAAGATGGGTAGCACTGGTGTCTAGCTAATTATTTCTGTCATACAGGGATGGTTTTCAAGCTGTTTGGTAGCCCACCTTCAAAGAATCCCGTTTCAGTGATTTAGTGGCATTGTGAATTTTGAAGCAACCATAACTTTTTCTTTGTTTTAACACACAATGTCAGAATGGGAATGCAACACTTACTAGAGGAATTACTGCTTGTTGACCTGCTTGGAACCCTGAAATGTGTTCGTTACTCTCTAAGTGTAAATTATCACTCTAGCCCTAGATTTTTTTAGGTATTTAAGAAGTTTCCCAGATTCTTTTGCTTGTCACTTTTTGCTCTGTAGTCCACAGTCATTAACCTGGCTTTATCAACTCTTAAAAACAACAACAAAAAAACCCCCACTCAAGCAATACGATGGATTGGTAGGTGAAGACAGTAAAAAAAAAAAAAAACAAAAACAAAAACAAAAAAAAAAAACACTAGAGGCTTTTCATCTCTATGTTATAGTCAAGACACCTGAGTAGATAAGACTGCCAATGTGCTGCTTCTTTATGCTCTGTAGTTAAGAGCAAGTACCTTGGTTTCTTTGAGATTATGGCAAATTGTTTGAATAATCTTCTGTGAAGCTGTCAGTTAGATAATTGTTTAGGCAAGAAAATTTTGCAGCTGTAAGTACCATAGTTGACAAATGGAAATGAAAATATAGAATTAGATTCATTGACAGCAGCTAGGAAGCATATGGACTTCATGATGAAATAAATTATATTTATCTTAATGAAGCAATTGTTATTCCACAACTCATTTAAATCTAAAAAAATAAGACTGCATTCTCTGCCCCATTTTCTGACTGGAACTTAACTTGATCATAAGTGATTTCTTGTCAGGAGGGGCTGTTAAAAACAAAGTGCACAGGTAATGAAAATGCTTGATGACAGCTGGTGATTTTGACACCGAATTCGGTGGTTTTGTGACCTATGAATAGCCATCTTTTTGCCTGGAATTTATATTCAGACTGCTTCAAACTGTTTCATAAGTTCAGCTCTTCCTTGCAAGATTCTGAATTTATTTTTCATACCTCCACAGAGGCATAGCTGTCAGTTTACCTGTAGTTACCTCAAAACGCTTCTCTCAGTAATATTAACTGAGGGAGCGGCTCACAGGCTCAACCTGGCAGAATTTAAAAGCAATGTTAATTGCAGTATCCTGAGGTTTAATTACGCTGTGAAATGATTGATGTCTGATATGAATCTCTAAAGGTCTTTCAATGTTGAGGAGCTTTAAGAAAAGAAAAGCTACCTTTGGATTTGTTACATATGTTATTTTTCTGTTACATATGTTAGTTTTGATATGTGGGAGGCTTTCAAGTAGCATTTGTAGGTGTTCCATCACTTTTACCAAAATTCTTACCAGTGCATTAGTAAGAAACTATTTAGACTGTAAAGGGACAGTAAATATTCAGATATTGAACTTACACATTTTTCACTTCCTCAAAAAAAGATGTGTGTCTAGACACTACTTGGAGGTTCTCTGTGAAATAAACTTAGTATACTGTCTGCAATAAAGCTTGGTTTAAGTATTTCATTTGAGTATCTGGTGTTTCTCAATCAAAATCAAAACACTGACCTCATTGCATAATAAGTAGAAAGAGCACACAGGTTCTAAAGAGGTGGTGTTCGTTCAGCAAAAGTCTGAGAACTGACAGAAGTCAGAAGTGGTATGCTGAGAATATTTCTAATGCCAAAGTTTCTCTGCTCCTTCTTTCCAATGAGAAATTTTTCATTTGCATTGAAAAGCAGAAAAAAGGTCTTAATGACAAACTTCTTTTAGTTCCTGATGTTTTAAAAAGTCACCTTTATTGATAGGAGCTAATCTCAAATATTTAGGGAGGCATATTTCATATAAAGTGTTGCTTGAGCATTGTTATTGCCATTTAATTTTAGTCAGAAAAGACAAAGTGGATGTATTAGACCAAACCCACCTTCACTTGAGTTTTTAACTGAAGTTCTGGATTACAAAATTTGGTATTTGATGGCTTCTGTTGGTGCTGCTGTGATGTGAGACCATGGGGGCGGGAAGCAACAACCACAACTACTCTCACTAAAACACCTCTGCTCGTGGCCTTGTGAAAGGTCACTGTCAGGTGATTTGTTTGTGATCCCAGACAGGGCTCTCAGGGCAGGTTAGTTCCCTCTAGTTAGTTCCTTCTTATGTGCTGGAGGTCTTTTACACATTCCTATGATTGTGTCACGAAACAGGTAAGAACTGTCATGAAATATGAATAGTTCAATTTATTAGTGTCACTGCAGAAAGTTAGGTATGGTATTTATGTAATTGGTCAATGTTTTGTATCCCACTTACGAAACTTTTATTGTTGAAGTGGATAGCACTATTTCAAGGGTAACTATCACCACCTGGAAATAAGGCTTAGAGGCATCCATTTACTTCAGCTGTATTACTTCTGCATTCTCCCAAGAGCAAAATAGAGGGAAATAACAACAACCAAAAAGAAACAAAGTAGAATGGTTTGGGTTGGAAGGGACCCTAAAGATCATCTAGCTCATGCGCCCTGCCGTGAGCAGGGACACCTTCCAGTAGATCAGGCTGCTCAAAGCCCCATCCAACCTGGCTTTGAGCACCTCCAGGAATGGGGCCTCCACAACTTCCCTGGGCAACCTGTTCCAGTGTCTTGGCACCCTCAGAGTAAAGAATTTCTTCCTAATATCTATTCTAAATCTACCCTCTCTCAGTTTAAAACTGTTACCCCTCATCCTGTTGCTACACTCCTTGATAAAGAGTCCCTCTCCACCTTTTCTGTAGGCCCCCCCTTAAGTACTGGAAAGCTTCTATAAGGTCTCCCTGGAGCCTGTCTCACAGCCTGTCTTCGTAGGAGAGGTGCTCCAGCCCTCTGATCATGATTACATACTGGTTCCCTGTGCCCTGACAAGCACATTTTGACAGTAATAAATTCTGGCAAAGCAAGGATATTAGTAGTGATGTTCATGTTTGCTGTTAAAACATTGACTTCTAATCAGTTGATGAAAGGTCAGGGCCTTGAAGCAGGAGGAAGACAGACAAAGGCTTTCTTCTCAACAGGTTGTAATTGGTGAATGTGGCAATTGGAGTTTCCCATTAATGATGGTGTATCATGTTGTTGCTTTGCTTTGCTTTATTCTGTAAACCTAGGACAGGTGTTCAGCTTTTATGGGACCAGATAGGCATACCCTCCCATGGTATGTAGCATCCCACTGTCAAAATGTTTATTTCCCAAAACTTGAGTTTACTAGTAGAAGAGTGCTGGTATGAAGACATTGGCGTAGACAATTAATAATTTACTCCAAAAGGAGTTTGTAGCCTCCAGGTCTCATTTGATCGTGCTCTGTAATACAAATTTGAAAAAAATGGGAGCCAGTGGTTACACCACTGGTGTGTACACAAATACAATAATTGGGGACGGAACTGCATCTAGCAGCTCTGACAATTGAGTGAAGTAGAGGTCAGACATTTTCCTTAAAGGGGTACAAACATTGAGTAGCTTTTGGTCCTATGCATTGTAAGGTTGGATAATCCTTTTTTGCCTGTGAAAAGTGATTTGAGACTCTCTAAGGAGCAGCTAACAACATTTTTCATAATACACATTTTTTTGTTTGTTCCATCCTTACATGTGTAAGTATGTTTTCATTACCTTTGCTTGTATATTTTTTTTCTCTTTTGTGGAGGTAGAGAAGAGGGTGTATGGTAGGTGTTTGCTTTAGAAACAAAAATAATTGCCTTTGGTTTTCCTTCACCAAGATGCCTCCAGTCTTACTATTGTGCAGGTTACTTGCTGGGTCTGCAGGTGGGACTTGCTTTTAATGCATACTTTGCTTGCTTTTTTCCTGCTTGACATTAACTTTTATCTTTTGAAATGTCTTTTGCATGACTTGCTCAGTTTATTCTGTGGTCAATTTAACATGTAATTTAGGGATGTGTATTGCTAACCATCATTGACAAATATACAGGCTGTCTTAAGTGTAGATGTTTTTCCTGAATCTATTTTACGCACAGTCTTAATGACATGAATTTTCAAGAAATGCTACCAGATGCCATTCCCCCTTTGGAAAAGGGAGCCACTGTACAGCTCTGAAGATTGGGTCATAACCAGCTGTCCTATCAAGATCTTCAGTCAACACTGGTGGCACATAAGAAGTAATGCCTTAGCCTGGCACTGAAATCTTTAAGAATAGCCAAATGTATAATGTTTTCTTCCTTGTTTGTTGAAAGTTCCCCTCCTTTGCACAGGCTTCCAATGCAAAGCTAGTTGCACGGGTGTGTGCATACTGTAAATTTTAAGATCATTTTTGCAAAGATACTTGCTTAAAATGTATAAACCCCATTTAAATCAAGGGAGTGGGGGAAAGTACCTTCACCTGAACTTAGTTACTTATCTTTGAATGCAAGCCATTTCGGTTTATTGTCCATTGTCTAGACAGTGGTCTCCAACGTGTGATGTGTGCAAGACAATCCACTGGGGTGCAGGAAGGAAATATTTTTTTTTACGATTTTTAATTGCAATAAAGATTAAATATTTATTTTATCCTTTAAAAAAATTCTATTTGTGTGTTTTATAATGTACGTAATATTACTACATTAGTACATATATAAATTATAACTAAATAAACATGTTAAGGGTGCGTGCTCAAAATACTTTTACTGATAGGGATGCATGATAAAAAAAGTTTGGAGATCACTGGTCCAGGAAACGCATAGCAGCTCTAGGAGAAAGCAGCTCATTTCCTACCCATTATGGCATTCAGTGATGCAGAGATCGAAAAAGATTGACCGGTGTTCATAGCTTATATGCAGGTTCTCCAAGCTGTGCTTAGCAATCTTACTGTCTTTTCAAGTTCAGTGAGGGGTCGTGTGTCTTGTTAATATGGTAAGTAACCAGGGAACAGTAATCTTAACAGGCAGCAACTACTGAAAGAGCGAAATAGGAGGATTATGTGAAATGTCTTCCCCAAATTCCACGTTTCACTAGCATGGTAGTTCCAAATCTTTTTTTAGGTTCAAGCATATCTGTTCTTCAGCAGTTTTCATGCCATACCTATATCTGTTTACCATTAGATATCATGTAACTACGCTGTTGATTCCCCCCCTCCCCCCCAAGATCATAGTCTAATTTATGATATGGGAACCAATAACATTTATTGTTCTAAAATAAGATGCCACAAATATGAGTGCTTGTTTTCATATCCTGCAAATATGAAGTGTACACTTTCAGAATAGTTTGTAAGGCTATAGTGACATCACTTCCAACATTTTGCAATAAAAAGATGCACCGACATTTCCATGCTTCTGCATTGAAAGTTTACCTCTTCAGAATCATATATGGATGTATTAGTTATTGATGTCGGAAGAATAAGCCTTCAAAGGCTGCCATGATCGAGAGATGTGTTTGTGATTCCTCTTCTCCAAAGAGAACTGCTTTGTAAATTGTCAGGGAAGTGAACTTAATTCTACTTAAAATAGTAGGTATGGTGCAGAGACCGTAACTCATAGAAAAGCTTTGTTGAATTCATGTGACTTAAAAAGTTCTTGGCACCCTATTATTAATTTATTATTATATGTATGGCAGGCAACCCAAAGTTATCTTGACGAATGTCCTGAGGACGAAAATAGGAAGAAAATACACACAGGCGCAACTTAAAACTGGTGCTAATTTTTCTGATGCTGGCAAGCTGCAGTCAGATCAACCACCCTCATCATCTGCTGCCAGCCTAACGATATGGCATATTTTAAACCCTACACTCCAAAGCCTTTTTCTGTCTAAAAGGTACGTTGTCTTCACCTCATGTCACTAAACAAAATAATTTTACTTTCAATTGTTTTTTTCATGAGAAAGTATTCTTTGTTGTGCCACAGCTGTCGTCTTCATGAGCTATATTCTCATGTCATCTGACATGATGGAATTCCCTTGTACCTGCTTCCTTTTGATAATCATTGAGAGAGATGGTGCCAGGTACACTGTGGTGGGTTTTCTGATCAGATGGCTTCTAGATGGTCCTGTACTAACAAGACCACTTAATTCTCATTCAGCCATTGATCTCTCAAAATGTTTGGATTTTTTCATTCTTGTGAAAAGAACAGTACGCTTGCATTTAACTGCCCTCTTTTCTCAGAGAAGGTATCAGGGTGTATTTTCACTGTTACTGTTTCAGAGTACTCATGAAAATATGAGAACTGTCATAAAGGGTCGGAAGAAAAGCATATCAAGTCCAGTATCTTTGTCCCACTGCATGCAATGATCAATTGGAGATACCCAGGGAAGAGTATGGCTAAAAAGAATGATTTTTTTCACCGAGTTTTATCTCGGAGTTCCTGATGTTTAGGGACTTCCTTTATTGGAGGTTACATCCAAACTACAGTATTCTTCTGTATCAGATGTTTCCTCTAAATCATGTCCTCATTGCTTATCACCTGTGTGCCTCTGCAACATCTTGTCTGTAAGGTAGTCTCCTGATTAAAAGCAAATTTACATCTTGGTGCAGGAGATCTGAGTGCTCCCCAGACATCATGCTGTTTGTGCTGGAGCATGCTTTGTAGATGAATACGGACAACAGGAGAATTATGTAGTCCATACCAAAAAGACAATGTTGTTCACAGCAGTTTCAGAAAAGGCCGTGACGTTACATCCTAATCCAAAATAAATTGTAATGGAAGTGGTAGGATTTAAATCCCAGCTCAAGAAACTAAGTGGGTAAATCAAGGGCTATACAACAAGCTGGCTGCAGTGGCATTGTATGAAGTAAGTTGTGCTGCACTTACACATCTGTGCTCAAGTTGGCATTTGCATCTTCATATTTCTGGTTAGCTTATTATTGATGCTTTTCTCTTCTAACACTTGCAGATATTTCTCTGTGTTTTTCTGAACCTTGTTACTGCTACTTTGTAGAATGCTTCCTGCAAGTTGAGGAGGGGAACAAAATCTAATGCTACCTTTTGGGGTGTGCACTACTTTTCTACCTGTTGACTAAGTGCTTAGGAAAATTCAGTCTGTTTTACTGGAGGCATCTTGTTCACAGGAATATCACGATTGTTTGCTCCATAGTTCTGAGAAATGTGTACAGATACAATGTTTACAGCTCTTTAGAGATAAACAGTTACCAGTTTTTAAACAATTCTTAGAAGATGTGTTAGAGGCAACGTAGTGTGAATTGTGCCTGATTAAGGTGAAATTATATGGCTAGCATTTTTTACCCTGGTCTTTTGTTGCTTTTTTGTGTTTATCTGCTTACCCTGGATTTTAAGTTCCTTAGCGGGCTTTTGGTTTGTCTCTAAGGGACTGAAAGTAACGATGTTTGGTGATTATCAAGCCTCTAAGATAGGTGAATTTAACAAGAAGTTTCTTTCTCTAGATTTCAGTGCAGTATTTATGATTTACTGTTATATATATGGCAGGCAACCCAAAGTTATCTTGACGAATGTCCTGAGGACGAAAATTGGAAGAAAATACATAGACAGCCACGTAATAATTGATGCAGATTTATCTGATGCTGACAAATTACAATCGGGTCAACTATCCTCATCATCTGTTGCCAGCCTACAGACATGTCAAATATTAAGTTCTCCTCATGAAAGTTCTTTTCTGTCTGAAAGGTATGTTACTCACTGCTGATTTTGCCAGTCTTCCTGAAATTACATAACTTCATAATGGAAAAGAATTTTCCTGAAACAATTCTTGTTATATTCTTGTCTTGAAGCAGGAGATCAATTTCCTGAGTGCAAACCAACATACTGGTCCAACAAGCCATTTTAACATTGTGTTTATTCTGATTTGCTGTACCTGATGCTAATGGACTACTTTTCTTTCATGAAAGGAATTTCCATTTACAATAAATGAGTGTTTTGAGTTGTGAAGATGGCCATGTAATTCAAATGCATTTAAGTTGGTTTTGTGTCCAGAACCAAAATCATGCTTTCCTGTTGCTGTTAATGATTTCAAGTAACTTCTTTTGCAAAATTTCTCCAAATTCCGCTCTGTGATAGTTCATTTCTTTATGCATTAATTCACCAGTGTTCTCAATCCCAACAGAGTGCCATTGTTTAAAGGCTGTGCGTGTGTCCTCTCATTGCTTAACATCTACTTTTCCTCTTTTCTTCCTATGTTTAGGTTGACCGAGCAACACAGTAATGTTTGACATATAAAACTAGCGGAAATCAGTTATTATAATTACGTAACGTTTGTTTTGGTCTAAGATGGCAGTTAGATTCAGAGTAAGCTGTTTCCTCTTGTCTTTTATGGCTGCCTCTTTACTTAACAGCAAAGTATCCACAGGAACAAATAGCAAGAAATTTGGGAGAATTAAATAGAGGAAGGAAGAGAAGAATGATTTGTGAGGGCAGGAATAATCAACGGTTCTCAGGTTAAAGAAATCTTAAAAATTCTTGAGAAAAGTCAGTCATATTCCTCATTCTGATATATGAACATCTTTGAGAACCTGAATTAGTAAGAATTCCTTTCTCTTTTTCTGTGTGTGTGGGGGGGAAATGCCCATTGCTTCTTAAATTAATCTAATGAAGCTGCAATTTAAATGAGGGATTTAGAACAGTTTATTAGACTGTATCATTTTAGAAGTTTTACATTTGTTGCTAATAAATAGTTTTCCATAACTTCAGGCTGACTAGAGTTTCAGGAGTATGTTTGGATTGTTGGGGGTTTTTTTTTTGTGTTACTACAAAATCTTTAAGATCTATAATTTTTAGTATCTGATTTTTGAACTTGTTATTGTTTTGGATGATGGGAAGTAGTGGGTTCATAGAGAGGAAAACATGAACACTTGTATGTAACTCTAAATCTGAGGAACTATCTTGCACATTTTTTCAAGCTCTTATTTGAAGGGCAGCGGTTGAGTTTTATGTTAAGCTCAAGAATGGTTTGAACTAGTCAGGTTTTTTCAGTAGTTGGTGTACTCAACTTGCATTAGATTTGGAGTGGTTCATTACTTGAAGGATTAATTTTCCGTTCCTGTGATATGCTTTTCTAATGTATTAAGTAAAAGGCTTGTTATTAGCAGGAACTAACATTAGGAGTATTTTGCACCTCTCCCCACTGACCACCCTGTTAATGCAAGTTGTAATAGATATTGCATATGAAATGGAGAATTTAGAAATTATTTCAACACAGGTGTGGTTTGATCCTGGTCACTTCTCTGTTACTGAGGTCTGTGCATAAGATACACTTGGCACTGATTCTTTTGGGGTCTTGTCTTTCAGAGGAGAGTAAAAGCTCACCCTTGTAATGGTTATGCATATATATGCGCATCACCATATAGAGACTCTTTTGTATTGTCAGAGTAGCCAGAATGCATGCTCTGTTTTACTGAAAATTGTGCCAGTTTTGTGCTATGGAAATTTCAGATTAAGTCAAAGAATTGTGTGTGATCAGAACAGGGTGGTAATAAGTTAACCTTTCTTTATCGGCTAGAATTTGCTGCAAGTTCCCTGTTTCCTTTCTTGCTTTTGGTGTTACAGAATCGGTGGATTTTGTATTGCTTGTTCACTGCAAGCCAACATGAAATGCATTTGCTTAAGTCACCACTGACCTATCAGTATAACTAATGAATTTGAGGTAGGTCTTAAGCGTAAAGAAACTTAAGGTTTCAAAGTGTGTTTCGTACTTGTTTCTCATGGCTGTTGAGAGCACTTCAGTATATACTGCCATAGCTTCTTAGTTTATGCATATATCTAAGAGGTGCATTTTAAACCGAGTTACAAAGATTGGAAGTGAAAATAAAATGTGCAGAATTTGTGCATAGAGTAATTATGTTTAGGGAAGTCAATTAGCTGAAGTATTACTATTGAAATGTTTCCTGTTGTTGAAATACCAGAACTGTGATGTTCGTGTAAGAAAAATGCTAAAAACCACTTAATGGTTTAGTATGGTCTTTCAAGACAGTCAGATCTATATAGCTGTTATGCATACAAATATTTAAGTTGAGAGAGAGATGTAGGTACCAAAATCAAGTGTTCTGTAGTGAGGTTATTCCAGAACTAGAGCTGCCTGATCTATGGAAGACTCTTGTCTTGTTCAATATACAGAATGAATAACAGTGCTTACCAAACACTTTTTCTGTATTATGGTCATGATTCTTTGTGAATGGAAAGATAATCAGTAATTTCTCTATGGTGCTTATATACTGTTCATTACTGTAGTATCAGAGCACTCTGGCAGTCTTTATTTGTCTTTACAGTATTCCCAAAGGGCAGTGATAGTCTAATCTACAGATACGGTACTGAAGAATAGGTGCCTCTTCAGAAAGTGTCCCAACAGTTTTGGCTATCTAGTTAGATGTGTCAAGAATGTCTTTCCCATGGTTAGTGATTTTCGTTATGGGTCTAGGCTCAGCTGCCAGTGATTTCAGTCATTGCGATGATGGCTTAGCTCTTTGCAAATTGGAGACTGCAATGTTCTGAGTTAGGCACTTTATAAAACAATGAATGCAAAATCACTTTGGATTAAGTGAGGTGACAAAAGGAGGAATGGAACAGATTTCCAGAGCAGCAGTAAATTGCTTTATCTGTGAAATATTCTTTATTTTCTTTTTATTTTCCAACTCTCACAGAAAATAAAGCAGAGGTCATGAAGGTTAGTTTCTTTTATCTTGTAGCCCTGATAAATTTTCACAAGAAAAGTCTTGCGTACTGAATGTAATTAAGTTCATGTGACAAAATCCCACATGAACATATAACTAAATGTTATCCTAATGCATACACTAGAAACCAAAATACAGTTATGTAGACTTTTGTCAGCTGTAACTAGCTTCTAGAGAAGTTGAGAGTATGCTTACAAGATCAGACCTCAAATGTGAGGATGTCATATTGTTCAGTCTATCAGTACTTCCTGAATATATTCTCCTATTTATAAAAAAGCTAATAAAATTAAAAAAAAAACTTAATTACTTTCTTGCATGTCATTCTTTTTAGAATGAAACTACAAACTCAGCGGAACACCTGTAGGTTGCCTAGTTTCTCATCCTTTTCTGTTTTTTTTCTGTTTCTTCCTCATTCACGTCCTGTCCCCCCCACCGCCTTCAAAATTACTGTCTCAGGCCCTTTTGAGCAGAAATTTCTATTTCAAATCTTTTCTCATTGCAGGAACTTACTCAGTGGATTCTATTAGCAATTCTAAATCTAAGTTAAAAATATACTACATTGCCTCATTCCCAATGCATTCATGACAAAGGCAAGGGCACACTAAACTGACTGTTGTTCTCTCTCTTTTTTTTTTTTCTTGTTAAGTGTTCTTGCTGCAGTCATGCTTTACAGCAAAATAATATTTCAGTGTCTGATGTCAAGCATGTCAGACTTTCATTCTTTGCACCTTTCAAAAGCATGTGTTTCATTAACAACAATTAAGTATCTGTGTATTTCTGTAACGGAAACTGAATTAGTTTGTGTTTCATTTGCCAAGCTTCCCATGCTTACCAGAGAGGCAGAAGTTTGTGATCTAACCAACTCTTGTTTCTGTTGGGATTTTTAATCAGTATTCTTTCAAAATTAAAGATAAGTCATAGTTAATATTCTTTACAGGTCTGAGCATTGTCTGAGAAAGGCAGATGATGATCTGTGTAAATTGACCAAGGCTTCGAAGGAACCAGAAAAAAATAATGTCTTCACTGCTAGAAGACGGGAGCTGCAGAAGAAAGGTTTGTAGTGAGCAATAATCTGGCATTTAAATATGAATTTTGGAGAGTGTTGGGAAATTTTCTTAAGTCTAGTATTATGAGGAGAGCACAGAAATAAAATAGGTGTTGCATGCAGTGTATGTGTTTCCTCAAAATGCATTTTTTTTACAGATAATGGTAAAATATATCAAATAGCTTTTTTCAAACAGGAATAAAGCTATGGTTAATCAGATCTGTGGAAGAAAAACTGAGGGAAGCCTCACTGCACCATTTTAATCCTGATTTTATAGAAAGTCTTATAGTCAAGAATGTAATACATTAAGAATGCTCAAATGGCTTGTGAAGCCTGCTAAAATGTTTATGCTATATGACAATATTTGTATTTACTGCTGAAAAATGATGAGCTCTATGCTGAGTCTCCAGAGAGAACATACTATCTTTTTAATACTGGTAAGTAATATTTCCAGATTAGAACAGGAAATGGAGAGTACTGCATGCAGCAGAAGATAAAAGAAGGAATGTGGAGTACGGAGTGCTAATTCTTACTTGGAAAGGAGCTATGAATTTTGTTAACTTAATTATCGTGCAATAATAGTCTTTCCTTAATTATTTTACAGAATATATTTTGGCAGCCACACACAATTAAAAAAGGAAAGAACTATCATGGAAGGTATCTGCTTCCATGCATTTTATGTAAGACATAACAGCTATGAAGAAATACAAAGGTTTTTAACGATAACTCACTAAATCACTTTGTTTTTACTGACACAGAAAACAAGAACTATGATGAACTGGAAAAGAGGAGCAGAAACATGAACAGCACCAATTTTAGTCAGAAGGAATCAGGCTCTTTTGATTCTGAGAAAAGGAAAAGAAGATCTAGTAGCCATATTTCTGATGATTGTAATGCACACATTCCAGAAAAATCACTTCTACTGTCTGTAAGTTGTACTTAATTTTAATGTATGTGTTTGTGTAGACACATGCACACACACTTCAGTAGCAGCAACAGCAACATCCAAAATAAAAGAATTATACTACTAAGTAGTGTGTCTAGAGGTACTGTTGTACCTGTTGAGGGAACGTAGTTCAGAGGTGCATCAAGAAGAGTGAGTATATGTACTTCTGTCCACAACATCAGAATATGATTGTTGTAGCAGAAAGTTTGTGAGAGATGAATGACGGCGTTTCCTTCAGACAGGAGCATGGAGTAAACCAGTTTTGGAAATAAGGCATCTAGCTACCTTAGTGAAGCTTCTTTCATAGATGGTATAGAACTAATTAGGGACTCCGATACAAAATTTACAAAGTATACCTGGGGTTATTTAAATCTTGCAGCTGTCATCTTTCTCCCACCTCCTCAGTCTATTGTACCCTTCCCTAAAGTTTTATCTGTCATTAAGATTTGGAAAAAAAAAAAAAAAAAGGAAAAAAACCTGAGAGAATCAGCCGGTCAAGTACAAACTGATATATATTCAAGCATTTGAATCCAATAAAGGCATCTCTTTAACCTTCTGATTAAAACCCCACAGAACTGGGTAGTTGCTGAGTCCTGTTCACTTAGTTGACCAAGCCACGCATTTGCAAAGTAATGAACATCACTGGTGCTTGGTCTTTCAGTGTTGGACAGTGAGACAGCTGCTAAAAAATCAGAAATAGTTTCTTGTTCAGTATGAACAGGGGTCATAGTGGGCTTTTAAAAGGTTGCCCCTCATACCTTTTTGTAATAACCTTTGGAATATGAGGAGGGAGAAATTAACCTGACTTGAGCTCTAAATACAGCTGCATTGAACTCTGATTGTTTTGTCTATTACATAGCTAGGTCTCAGTGATCACGGATCTGAACCATCATAGAAATGTCAATAATAAATGTATAATAATAAATAATAAATGTCAAGAAAATAATAAATGTCAAGAAATAAATGTATATCCTGTTTCTGATTCCTGTTTTGTAGAAAGAGCAAAGATTGAGTTCAACTCAGTCTCCTGGCTGCAGAACACCCCGTGAGGATGGACAAAGTTGCAGATCTAATACAATTCTGGTGCCATATTGTATTCTGCAGCCATTAGAGAGAGACTATAAAGACACTGCCACCCACAACCACTTAAGGCCTGCTCACAGCTGCACAGAGGAACCTGGCTCAGCATCTCCTCCCAGAAATTTGTCAGAGAATCAGCTCTCTGTCACCAGTGAGGATGTGATTTCACCACGAGTTAGTACCATCAGGAAATTAAAGATGGACACATCACAGTATCTGAGCAAGCTGCGGAACAGAATCTGCAGGGGTAATCGGCAACTTGTTTCGGTTGACCCAAGTATGTACTGTATCTGTGCTGCTGACAATTACTAGTGGTATGCTTAGGTACTAGGAGAACTTAGGCATGACTGACTAGTTGAAGCATATGGAACACCAGACTGAAGACAGAGATCATGTTGTCTGTAATGTATTGTGCAGGTCAGAGAATAGTGCCAGTGTCACCTACTGGAGTGTAGAGGGTCTTGTCCTTGAGAAACAGGATGGAGGTGATTTTTAAATTGCAATCCTTATTCTGCAGCTGATTTTGTGGCTATAGAAAATCAAGCTTCTACTTTTTAGGGGTGCTTAAACTGAGAAAAAAATATTTTCTCTTCTTTGAAGCGGCTGTGTTGTGGCCTGTTTCTTCTAATAGTTAAATAATTTTCAGGATCTTGGGTAAAAAGTGTTAATAAAGATACAAAGCAGTACTTGTTGCATACACGTCCACACACGCAGACCTTGACTGGTTTGTGCAATGTACTTTGATATTACATACTGCAAGAGAGAATTCTTTGCTCATCTGAAATCCACATTGGATGAAATATTCTGAAGTCTGCATCTTGCAGTACATGTATACTTCTTTTTTCCTCTTTAGTTGTTCTTTCCAGTGATGATGAAGATGGACCTTCTGAACCAAAGTGCACAGAGCTGGTGCAGGATATCACTGACATTAAAGAAACAGACCAACAGTCTGACTTCTGTTTATCAACAAAACAATTGGAAGACAAGATGGAAAGTCATACGGAGCAGGTAGTCCAGTTTTTGGCCTATGTTTTGTTATGCCAACCCTTTAATTTATTTCTGCAATGTTTATTTGTTCTTGCACGTTAGAACAAAAGTGAAATGCTTAAAGCAGATATGATTAGTTCCAGCAACCAGCAGTAGCTGCAGTAATTTATTTCACAGATAGAATTCTGGACAGCCTTCAGGGGTCTCTGGCTTGAGTGTTTTTGCAGCATACACTTTATTTCAAAGTTTGAAAATTAACACTTGGAAATATTTAATGTGACCACACAGGAAGGACCAAGTAGTAATCTGAGCTAGAGGTGAACGTGATGAAGATATGTCTGTGGAAAGGTTTTTTTCACACAATGTTTTTTATAGTTATCATAGTTCAGGTCAGTAGTTTCTTCTTGTCGTCCAGTCCTCTGTTGTAAGTCAGTGCAGGGAGAGGTTTAAGGATCTTTGTTGACAGCAGGCAGAGATTGGTAAAGTTCCCTTTCCTGCATGGCCAGCAGTGGAATTTGAATCTAAAACTAACCATAAAGGTTCTTGCCCCATTTTGGGCTTAATTAGCCTTGTGCTGCTTGATTTGACCTTTATTTGCATTATCTCTGCAATCCTGGAACAAGACAGAAGAGACAGTGTGGCCTCTTCTTACAGATGCATCATTTTGATCATAAGCATTGAATTGGATTCTGTGCCTTTGATATCAAAAGAGGGAGATTTTTTGTTGCTCTGTTGTTTGAGTTTTTACTTGGCTCTAGATTAGTAAAGAGCACAGGTTATGTCTTGGCAACAGGAACTTTGGAGGTGCAATAAAATAGTATTAGGCGCTTAAGGACATTGTCAGTAATGATTGTAATATTTACAGCTTTTTAATATGGAATTCTTATATGGAAGTTGGCTTTGGGGAGTAAATTCTTACAAACATACAGAGAAAATTCCTAAGGTTACAGGAGGGAAGTATCTCATTTAAATCCCCGTAGTAATTTTACTTTTTTCCCCAGTTTTTAACAGAGTCAATTGAAGATACATGTCCTATCAGCTTACCTTCTGGAAGCACACCTAGAAAACAGATGAACCTGGCATTGGATGTTGAATTTGATAGCCTATACATTGGGAAATTTAAATGGTTATCAACAGGTCCTGCTAGGGTAAGTTGTTCTATTATGGTGATATTTTGAGAATATTTAAAAATTAAAATTCTAGTTAAGCAATGTTAGTGGTACTTAGTGTGGAAGCACTGCGTTTTGATTATTGTTGCATCAAATTGCTTTGGCTAAACAACGGAGTGTGGAGTCCGTTACCTCGTATGTTTGGATTTCTGTCAGTAGAAAAGCCTAACTGGGATTTTCTGTGACCCTAGTTTTCAGAGGTAAAGGTTCTGTATAAATGCTGTACTGGAACAGAAATCATATCGAGGAAGCTTTTTGTGAGTTCTAATGGAAAATAATGGCCATGTTAGAGTTAATGTTGCTTGAAATAAACACCAATTACTTTTCTCAGAAATAGTACAGATATTAGAATAAAGGAATTTATAGTTATCAGAGTTCAGATGTATACTATGTGCTAATCTTTACTTTTAAACAGAAAATTACTCATTTTGTAGCTTTAAAGAGCATGAAAATAACTCTAAAAACATTAGCGCATAGGCAACATGCTACTCACAGGGTGTAGAAATATAAGTGAACATGTACTTCAAATGGAGTACCAGCTGCAGGAGTTTCAACAGGTCTTTGGCTCAATCTGTATATTGCGATTGAAAAATAAATGTTTGAACACGTGTGTCTATTTTTTGCCTGCAGTAAGACATTTTGAAATCTTGGGTCATAATAGTAATAATTACAGCTTTTCACAAAACAGCAGTTTTGTGCAGCAGTTCTCATGCAGTAATGCAGACATTTCATGGAAATTTCCTAAATTATTATGCCAAAATCATTTGAGGCGTGAGTTGAAATATGTTTAGAATCAATGCTTCTAGGTGGAAAGTGAAATTTTTCATTGAAAAAAACAATTTTGTGCTTGCTGTGGTAATGTAAGAGAGATGTCTTCACTGAATGTATATGACAACCTTCTGTCAAAGTGACAATAAAGCATTCTTTATTTAGCAGAGTCTTCTTAACACAGCAGCAGTGTAAGTGGAAACTTCAAAGGCCTTTAATTCAAAGTTTAGTGTAAATAGTAAATTAACACCCCAGTATCGGACCGTTTATATAGTGTCCTTAATTCAAATAGTGCAGCTGACAGTCTTTGTCATGGGGTTCTTACAACTAAGCTCTTTTTGTCCCAAGTGTTCATCAATTTTTTTTTTTTTTTTTTTAAATTAAGGAGCCTGTAGGCAGCTCTGCAACTTTCTGCGTATTTCTCAGTGCTGAGCATCTCTGGAATTCAATTAGATTCTGCAATATGTATTTAGGAGTGTTGTTTTAGGTGAAATAGGCAATATTAAGTCTCAAATTAGGCTATTGGACTTGGCAGTGTTAGGTTAACGGTTGGACTTGATGATGTTAAGGGTCTTAACCAACCTAAATGATTCTATGATAGTATTTTCAGTTTATTTGACTATTAGCAAAGAAAAATGTGCAGATAATTAAAATTCTTACTTTGTTTTAATCAATTTGTAAAAAGTAAATTAATTTATATTTTTGTAATCTTATTTCAGTTTACAACCAAGTATATTTCTATCCCGTTTCAAGGTAAGAGAATCTTTTTCTTCAGCTTTCTCTTAACTGTATATTTAAAGTATTGCATTAAAATACTCAGTATATATTTATATTATGAATAATTTATGGTCTTACTGCTTGCAGAAAGACATTAAATAATTTTTAAAAATTAAAAAAAGTATTGGTGTCTACAGAGTAAGCATTAATAACTTAGCAGCAGCTTACACTTGTAAGGCGAACTTGTAGTTTTAATGGCCTTGCCTCATGCATTTCTGCATATGTTGTGTTGAACCCATAGTAAATATGACTATGCATCTTTTGGAGGTGAAATGTTAATCTTTTCAGAGTAGCGTTTTAGACCCTTAGATTTATTAAAGAAAAACATGTGAGTTGACTAAAGCTAAGAGGAATGTAACTCTAGATTTGCATTCAGTGCATTTTCCAAAGGTGATGTGTTGTTTCTGTATCTTGTAGGAGAGGGTTTGTTAGCCGTTCTGAATTGGATTGACTAAAAGCAAATAGGTGTTCATGATTTGTAGTATTTTTTTCTATATTTGTAGGTATTAACTGTGGTTATTTTGAGGAAAAAATACATTTTTTTTTTCATGAGGAATCCTGCGTTTACATGTTTAGCTTTTGGCGTTACAATCTGGTAACTTTGTTTTATATAGTTTATTACAACTGATTTAAGTATTAAATTCTGAAGACATTTTATGTAATGTTAAGAATGAAATCTACAAGTACCGTTTTAATACTCTGATCATACTTATGTCTTAGTATGTAATTACTATAACGTGTTTGACTTTATAATTACACATGGCTGTGAAAGATATGGTTATTTTAAATTCTATTTTCTACAGTGGCTCTTAATAAGAATATTGAGCTGACAGTGGATACTCTGGATCTGAGAAGGTTTGGCTTGTGGAGAAGTGATGGTGCCTCTTCTTCAGCAGCTATCATTTTCCTTTGGTTGTCTGTGGATTACGTAGAAAAGATTGAAACCCAACTAGGCAAGTTAGTCACCAGCAAGCCATGTGAGTAATCTCTTTTCCTTAAACGCAATGAAAAAGTCTAATATATGGCATGTCAATAAAGTGATTATTTTACAGTTGTGCTTCTGGAATACTGAGGAAAGCCTATAGCTTTTTAAAGATAAGTTGGTCGGTTTTGCTTTTCTAAAGTGTCTCGCTATACTTGTATTTTGAAGCAAAACCTAACATAATGTGATTCAAAACCACTGCTACTTAATAAAAAGACCTTGCAACACAGTTCAGTTGTAATCTGCGTGAGGAGGCCATCGAAAACTGGGCTTGTGTATAAAGTATCTCTCCCTTTAAAATAAATGTTTTAAATATCCATACTCTTGAGTAATGTATATGCTAGTTGAAAGGCTTGGCCGGTAAAGGTTGATTTGATCTTTGACAAGACTACCATTGCATTATTATTGGAGAAAATTTCCACTAAAGGCCAAATGGGCTATTTAGTCTGTAAGGTCTTATGGACTGGCTCTATTTGTTTTTCTAGCATGAAGCTCTGTAAAACTGAGTATACCTTTTGCTCAAATATTCAGAGCGGCACAATCATACAAGGTTTTGTCATTTTGCAATGATTTTGCCAATGTAATCTGACAAAATGATGATGTCAGAATTGCCTGTGTGAAATTTAACAGTGTGTTTACCCTGTGCAATCAGCACCTGACCCCCCTGTGCTCTCATCGTTAGAGATACACAGGCAGTCTCACAGCCAGGGCTGTCCCTTAGGGACCTCCTCACCCCCCAGGCTCTCAGGGCACTTCACCCATTCACCTTGTTTGGCTTGATCTTCACTAGCAATGGTCACTTGGACACAGGCACTTGCTCCGGTTGCTGCACTCAGACTTACACATCAAATCCCTCACCTAGGAGGGAGTTAGAAAGGAATTTAGTAAGAAGACAGGACAGACTGCGCTGATCAATGCACAGGGCATGGCCAGACAAGTGTAATGACCAGCAAAGTACTTAGATGTGACTGGTGTTTTTAAGCCCTTAGCCTTCTATTTTTGCACACTTGTTCCCCCTACAGTCACCTAAACCCATCCCTTTGCCTGCCTTGGTTCTTCCCTTAACTATCCCATAAATAGTCCAGAGCAATCCCAAAATGTTCTTCCCCGGCATCCCATCACATATGCCATACACCACAGCAGCAACCCGCCCTCAGTCCAAAAGGTTCTCTGGCCCTGACCCATCTTGATGGGTTTCAGGTCTGGGCCCTGGGGCTGAGGCTCAGACTCTCCTGGGACAGCCCTGGGAAGGGCACAGACCAGGTGTCCCTTCCTCCTAGTCCTTAATGTGGCTTCCTGCCTGCCACCGTGCCCCTGTGCTCCTCTGGGCTTGTGGAGGTGGGCCTTTGGTGGGTTGATGGCCACTGTGATGAACCCAGTAGGGTATTATTTGTGCTTCCCCTCTTGCCATCGTCTCTTTGTGCTCCTTTGTGAGTGTGCAAACAAGTTTTTATCACGAAACCTCATAGTTAATACTACCCATTCTCTCATTTTTCCAGCCAAATCTAGTGAATTTGTATTTCTTGAACTCTCCCGACTGCTCACAGAATGGGAAGAAGACAGACTGACTGAACTGATTACAGATGTGAGCAAGAAGAACAGAGCACCAGATCTCCCTGAGTTTTTGTCTTTGAAGCAAGCATTACCTTTGTTTAAGGACCTTTCTCCTGAAGAGAACTCTTTCATGAGTTACAGTAAGGATCTACTAAAGCAATGTATGCCAAAAGAGAATACCTCAGATGCTCCTGAGCCTGCACTTCAGGTTAGTGAGTAGCTGTTGCTTGATTCATCACTGCCTGTTGGCATTCTCATATTCTAGTAAATTTTAGATCAGCCAGTTGCAGAAAATAAATTCTTTCTTAATCAATAGGTCAAAAAAAACCTCAGTCATGTTTGTTATTTCTCTCTGACAACGGGGCAAAGTTTGCAGTAAACTAGATTGTGTCCACAGAGGGATAGTGTATAGACCTCATCCGTAAGTGGCAAATATTGAAGCTTTAGGTTCATGGTTGTGTGTGCCTAGAACCACAGGGGTTTCCTGCCCCTGTGGTGTCTCCAGGGCAACAGATTGGGAGTTAATAAAAGAATGAGTGATGGAGCCTTTTTCAGTTGAGCTTGAAGTGAAGGGGTGTAGTGGAGGAGGAGCTCTGTGTCTTGATCATTCCAGATACATCTAGATGTTCTTTTGGGGGCTCCACAGCTTGAAATGCTACATCATTCCTAAGGCTGCTGGGGAGATGGGGCTCTGCAAGTTAGTGTGTTAGTACATCTCCCTCTGAGGGGTAAATGTCTCAACCCAATCCCACATCATTGTCACTTTAGAAATTACATATGTTTGTTCCCATCAGGAAAAAGCACAAAGACCACAGATCAATCTGGCTATGAAACTGGGAACTTAAAAATTGAGCCAGTCAGTTCAAATCTGTATCATTTTTAGGCATATTGTTAAGAACTGGATTTTCAAACCTTCCAAGCATACACAGATACTAATAAGACAGTCTGATACTTGACTGGATCCTTTCAGGCCCTTTTTCTTCTCCAGAATGAATACTGCGTCAGTTGGCTGAATAATGCTTAAACAGTTTCAGAGAGAGGTTATGAACAGATGAAGACCTGTCATAATTTTTGAAGGAACATAACTTTTTTATTGTCTGAGCAGGGGCACATTTGCCTAAATACTGTTTACACTTCTGCTCTCCAGCAAGATTCCTCTTCAGTGATGTAGGGTACCCCTGTGGGCTTCAGGCTTGGGTTTTGTGTGTTCTGTGTTACATATCAAGGTGTATAATGATTTTTACTATTATTATTGTTTGGATTTTTGCTGGTAGGAATCAAAACCAAAAGTGGCCAGGCGCAGTTATGCCCTTGCAAATAAGCAGAATAGTGGTTGCTATGCTATCTCTCTGTCTTCTGCACTGAATGAAGAATGGAAAGAAGTAAGAGAAACCGGAGCAGTTAAGAAGTAAGTATATTTCATATAAATGAGAAGGTGAAAATAAAACAAATTGAATAAATGAGTTGCTGGAATAAAAGCCCTGTCTTAGGTACCATTTAGTTGATTTGAAAGTGTTGTGTGAATGTAGTTATTCCTGTTTCCGTCCTAATAGTTAACAGACAAAATGGATGTGTTACAGGGACAGAAAATCTCACAGAAATTAGAGAATACCTGAATTGTGACTACAAGCTGGTAACATGGATGCATCAATGGGAGGGTAGGGACCTTATGGCCTCTGTGAGTGTCCATCTAAGTCCGTATTACAGCAAAACTTGCTAACTTAAACTGAGCCTTTTTTTAAAATCTAAACAGTGTTGTTTTCACTGTTCTGTCACGCTCAATCTATTTATAACTAGTTTGTCATACAATTTACTAGTTAGTACAGGAGCTTGGTTGACAAAAGACATTAGAAAATGAGAACATAACTGTGTAATGTAGCAAGATACTATGACAGTGTTGACATGCCTCAGTTCTGTCTGCACTAGCCTGTTAGTCCTTATACTTCTAGTACGGCAAACATTAGTGAAGTAAATTGCTCTTAAGAACTCTTGCCTTTTGCTGTCACTGTTTTTACTGACAGTATAGCAGTTGGTTTTGTTTCTGCAACAGCAAAAATGCGAAGTTCATGGTTCCAGTTAAGTAATATGATTGTTAATCTAGAGCTTTTAAAATACATTTTAAATACTAGCATTAGAAGTAGCTTGGGCAGTTTCAAACCACTTACAGTACATATGCCGCATGGTGCGTAAACCCAAATTTCCTGCTTGGAAATATGGGAGTCCTTATTGGAGTCGTAACAAGTAGAAAATCACTGTTCGTTCATACCATTTGAGAATATGTCCCCTAGTCTTTCTTCCCATTTTACATATCCATTTGTCATTACTTTTATCAAAAATAGAAAAACAAGGTGAAGGTAAAAAATAATCTCCTTTTCAATAGTTTTCTCAAAATTTCAGTGTGCAGTGGGGTGCATATTTCTTTTGTAACGCTTAACTGTTGGAGGAAGAAATGGTAAAGGACTTTTGAGTTAGTGAACAGTTTTGAGAATTACTACTTTTAACAGGTTTTCTAGAAAATCTTCTACATGTAGAACAGCCAAACTAAGACGAATGTCATGTAAAAGACAGTTTGTCACTGTTATAATGCGATTTGTGTTTTCTAGTTTAATTGTTTATCCACCCCCACCTGCAAAAGGAGGACTGGGAGTCACAAGAGAAGACCTGGAGTGCTTAGAATATGGCGAGTTTCTCAATGATGTCATCATTGATTTCTATCTTAAGTAAGTAACCACAGCCTTAATTGTACACTTCTTTCTGGGACCTGATCTGGACTTGAATGTTACTGTAAATACTGGTCACTAAATATGACACAACAATTTTAGAAGTAACAGTATGATGAATTTGTAAGCTGGACATTTTTTAAAGCTTTTATGTATTTTCAGCAGTTTCATTTGTTTCAGTTTCTTTCTTCTTGTCCCTCTAAAGGGCTGAGATATAACCCAGAACAAATAGCTGGGGAGAAAAAGCCTCTTGGTGACCTCACAGAACAGAAAGTGCTGAGCAGATTTAAGCAGGCAGTGGAACAAAGTAGAGGGTCTGTACTAGGTAGTTTATTTACTAAGTTTGCATGAAGTGGAGCATCCTCTGCTATTCTGTCCAAGAGTTTAGGAATTCTTCTGATGCACAGCTCCTGCAGAAAGGAACACAGCTAATACTTCTTGAGGAAGTTGTGCTTGGCTGACCTGCTTCATGCCATCCTGCTAAAGTTGCTTGTGAAAGTAAGTTTCCCAGAACCAGCATTGTGGGCCACCATTCCCTAAAGCTGAGATTTATGTTCCCTGTGCTGAATTAACCTAAGCAGAATTCTGGCTTTTTTGAACGTTGTCTGCAAGAATTGTGTGTTGCTTGGCATCCAGTGTGGCTGCAGTAACTGTGAGCAATAGAAAGCCAGCCAAAACCTCTTGTCTAGAGGAGTGGGAAAGGAAATGTGTACCAGAGTGTTTCAATGTGGTTTTACAGCAAAGCCATCTGTATTTTTCTCTAAACTAGAAATAAAACATGCAGCATGGTTTTCTCAATAGCTGTAGCTTTATCTTGCCAGAAAAGGAAGATTTAAATAAAGGATTTTAATGCAATCATTGCAGAAACCTCTCTGCTTTTTAAACTTTGTTAGACTTCTCACATTTTTAGTTTTCATTGTGTTGCATGCTGTATCATGTATTACTGTACTGCCCAGGTCATCGGGTGGAGGTGGAGGCACCTTGTGCAGGATGACTGCAATTATGAAAGCTTCAGCCTTCTAGGGTGACAGAATAAGCACTCAAGCTGATGCTTATAGAAACATGATCAACAGCAAAATCATGCAGAATGAATACCTGTAGAATATTTGTCTTAACTTTCACATGCATAACCTGTAGAAGTAAAATGGACAATTTGTAGTACTGAACTGTTCTATGCTTTTTGTGTATGCAGGAGTGTAACACTCCATCGGCTTATATTTGGTTAGGTTTTCAAACCTGTCTTAATTGCAAGGGCTAGAAACCTAACTCTAAAAATAAATTCAGAAGCATTAATACTGGAGCACAAATCTGAGATAGAAAATAACTGCGTTCTTAGTAGTTGCTTTGCTGTTACATACTCTGGTGATGTCCACCCACATGCATGTTGAAAATAGAGTAGAAAGAATAGGTTGGGGTCAGTACTGGGACCAGCACTATTTAACGTCTTTGTTGGTGATGTTGATGTTGGGGTGGAGTGCACCCTCAGCAAGTTTGCCAAGGACACCAAGCTGTGTGGTGCAGTTGATGCACTGGAGGGAAGGGATGCCATCCAGAGGGACCTGGACAGGCTTGAGGGGTGGGCCCATGCAAACCTCATGAACTTCAACAAGGCCAAGTGAAAGGTCCTGCACGTGGGTCGGGGCAGTCCCAAGCACAAATACAAGCCGGGCAGAGAATGGATTGAGGACAGCCCTGAGGAGAAGGACTTGGGGATGTCGGTTGATGAGAAGCTCAACATAAGCTGGTAATGTGCGCTTGCAGCCCAGAAAGCCAACTGTATCCTGGGCTGCATGAAAAGAAGCGTGGCCAGCAGGTCAAGGGAGGTGTCTCTGCCCCTCTGCTCTGGAATACTGCATCCAGCTCTGGAACCCCCAATATGAGAAGGACGTGAACCTCTTGGGGAGAATCCAGAGGAGGGCCACGAAGATGATCAGAGGGCTGGAGCACCTCTCCTGTGAGGACAGGCTGAGAGAGTAGGGGTTGTTCAGCCTGGAGAAGAGAAGGCTCTGGGGAGACCTTATAGTGGCCTTCCAGTATCTGAAGGGTGCTTACAAGAAAGCTGGAGAGGGACTTTTTCCGGGGGCATGTAGTGGTAGGATGAGGGATAATGGCTTCAAACTGGAAGACAGTAGATCTAGATTAGATATTTGGAAGAAATTTTTCACTCTGAGGGTCGTGAGGCACTGTAGCAGGTTGCCCAGGGAAGCTGTAGATGCCCCATCCCTGGAAGTGTTTGAGGTCAGGCTGGATGGGGCTTTGAGAAGCCTGGTCCAGGGGAAGGTGTCCCTGCCCATGGCAAGCGGGGTGGAACTAGCTGATATTTAAGTTCCTTCCAACCTAAAGCATTTTATGATTCTTTGATTAGCGACTGTGAAAGCAACTGATAGTAAGCATAACCTGATAAGTCATTAAAAGAATTGTCCTTTTTTATCAGTGACGGTACTTTCTAGAAAAGGAATTTAATAATTTCCTTCTTTTTTCTTTGATAGATACCTGTTGTTGGAGAAGGCGCCAAAACATCTTGCTGACCGTGTACACATTTTTAGCAGTTTCTTCTATAAGTGCCTGACCAGGATGGAAAAAAACTCTGAGGGGGATCTCAAAGTTTCGTAAGTTCATTTTAGGTGCATTTGTGACCAGAAATAAGCTGTCTGTTGATGCCACTTTGAAGTTCTGCAGATCATCACCTAATTAGTATGTAAAATAGTAATTGGTGTTCTCCAAAGGATTAGTGGTTAAATGTTGTAACTCACAATTTAAGCACGCTGGTGTTTTTCACTAGAATCTATTTGTGATTCATACTGAGTATGAATGAAAATGTTATCACCTTTCTCCAACTTTATCTGAATCTTTACTTCAGACAATTATTTATGTATTTTGATGTTTTTATTATCAACTCAGAATTTTGCAAGGTATGCATCATTTTATGAAATAGCACTTCTAAAAATATTTTTAGATATACCATATATTTCATTTTGCATATTGGTAGTAAATTATCATCCAGATTTTTAGTAAGAAAATTTTCTTGCACACCAAGCTTACACGTTTGGTTTTTAACACTTAAGCACACTGGAATTTCAGAGTTTCACAAAAAAGTGTCATTGAGAGCTCGAGAACTCTGTATCACTTTGTGTTTCCAGCTAATACTATGTAAAGGGTAGGAGCATCCCTACCACACTTCCCATTCCTTCTCAATGCTGATGTTTGGGCATGGAGCTTGCCCTGCCACTTCACTTACAGTGATGTTCTGCCAGCAACTTTCATCCTGTTTTCATCATTCAGCTTATCGAAGCCTTTTTTCTGTTTCTCTGAAGTGATTTTTCTTCTGTTACCCATGAAGTCCCCAGGTTTTTCATTCTACTGGCAAACGAGGCCACCTGCACAAATAGGTGTGCCATCTTGTTTGTGTTAGTCACTGCTGGGTGAAAGCTACCTTAAAGGGAAAAAAAATGCAACTTCTTCAGTATTTTCAAAGATGTCTCAAAAATTCAAGAAGCTGTGCTTAAGAGAATGTCTTCCATCATTTTACTGACCCTGAATGTTCTGAGGTGGAGACAAAATTATCCACATTAAGAATACTGTTGTACCTTGATCTGATTCCTTTTACATGGCTGGGCTGTCCATAACCTTCTTTAGGAACTAGAATGGCACTCCTAATTCACCATGTTTTAAGGACTGTATCTACTCCAGATCAGGAGATGTCTTTGGAAATTCTAGTTTTGTGTTTGGACTTAGATACTTACCTGGTGATTACAGGTAGTTTGGGTTCTGTTTGTTTCTGTGGGGTTTTTTTGGATAAATGGATAGTGGAATATTGGGCTCCTCACTGTTGTAAATGGAATTAATCTCAACAGGTGCAGCTACTTAACTTAAAGACCCTTTACTTCTTTTTCTTCACACAGCTCAGGCAGTAGATTGGGAAAGCTCATTCTATAGGTGCTTTCCCAGGTTGCAAACATGCTTTCCCCTTTTAAATTCCCAGTGCTTCTAGAGTCCTGTAGCAGATGAAGTTTGCAGCAAGTCTTCGCTTAATGCTGGTCCATGCAGAGTCCCACAGCAGTTTGTTTTTCCATTCCTCTCTCCTTTTCTCCCGTTCCTCCTATGCTGAAGTTACGTTTCTTGATCACAGATCAGGATGGAATCAGAATGGTAGTAGGGATGTGTCCTCCATAGAGTGAATTTTGCTTTCGGATCATATTGGAGCAAAGTTCTATGAACTGTCGGTTTCTATTTCGACTTTTGCAAACTAAGAAAGTCGAAAATCTAAATTTATGTTTCTTCGCAAATTTTTCTTGTTCTCCTAGTATCCTGTCTTTGTGCTTTACATCTGTAGAACTGGAAATGAAATTGCTCCAGCATTTAAAGTGCAGGCCTGGAAGGAATCTATGACCCTGTGCAAGGAATGTAGCTTTTTCCTTCAATAGATAAGGTTGTTTAGACAGGCCTTCAAAAGTGGTATTGTGAAGTTTAATTCGTGGATGTTTATAAATTGCTATAGGTCTGTTTTTATAATGGCTGGTGTTTAAGGTGTTTTTGCATTTAGTGTAATAAATAATAATTACTGGATAAATAACTACAAAAAATCCTGTCACATCTATGGAGGATTTTTTTCTAGAAGAGTTTAAGATAGTTTGGATATGATTTATTAGTCACTTGGGCTTAAGGGTATGCTGATGTATTTTTTCCTCTGTGAGGGAAATTTCAAGAGTAAATGAAAAACCCATTGAGGGATTGGGAAGATGTAGGAGTACTAACCCCTGTACCCTGCTTTAACTAAAAAGAACAAATCTGAACAACAGTTTTCATTTGGTTTCTGCAGAGCAGCACAGAGAAGACACAGAAGAGTAAGAACATGGACGCGTCATATAAACATCTTCAGTAAAGATTATATCTTTGTGCCTGTGAATGAGGAGTAAGTATGTGTTTTAGACACCTTTTCTGATATTTAGATTTAAATATTTGGGTGTTGTGGTGATAAAAAGATTTATGGCTGTAAGCTTGGACCATTGGAAATGAACACATTAATTTTTGAAGAAGTAATGGGTGTGGAATGAGTAATTTTGAAGTCTCTTCAAAAGCTAATATTTTTATTTAGCTGTCTTCAGTGATCTTTGCATTTTTGTGTTTTATTTTACTGAAAATGGCTTTTATGTATTTTTCAAAATAATTTGTGTGCCATTATGATGAATCCTGTGCACTTAAGTAATATTTCTATAAAGAAATCATGGCAATTCACAGTGTTAATTAATCAGGAGTAGTACTTTCATGGTCTGTGCCTTGGCCTGGTTAAATAACTGACCTGCATATGGAAACTCCTTTAAAACTGAATAGTCATTGAGGGTTACGTATGTAAAACAGCTGCAGAAAGAGATAAGGCTGGAGGCATGCCGTACCCTCAGCTATATTCAAAACTGGGATCACCATCACAGATTATTTTATTACTTTTTTTTTTTACAGGGTGGGATGGGTGGTGAGACACTGATAAATTGCTGTGGTGGGTTTGGTGCTTTTTTTAAAAGGAATTGCTACTTCTTTTTTGCTATTATGCCACAATGCAAAGTAAGATAAAAGTGAGAAGATTAGTAGGTGATGCTGTGAAGGAACATGGCAATGACGGTTATGTGTCACAGAACAGTTGTCCGTGAACTCTCGATGTTATAAAAACTTTTCATATCCTTTTCAGAACCAAATGTTCAGAAACAATACAGTTTTGACATTTTTCCTCCCCCTCTCCCCACTGCTGGGCAGGTCTCATTGGTACATGGCAGTTATCTGTTTCCCATGGTTAGAAGAAGCTGTGTATGAGGAGTGTCCCCATCAGGATTCATTATATCACCAGGCTCAACTGTCTCCACTTCGGTCAGAGAGTGAGAACACTAGAACTGGTTCAGTGTTGGCCTTTCCTGGTCACTGCAAGGATGAAGAAGAAATGAATGCTAACAGGAGTTTATTCTCAAAAGGTAGGTAATCTAGAAGAAAATTATGTCAGCCCATATACAGTTCTGATAGTGTCTTAAGCCTTGAAGGAGATATATGATGTCTTAAAAAGTATCTTTCACGTCAAGATTGATGTAATATGTTTTTGTATTACCATGTATAGCAAGGAGTACACTGCATTCTTGTTGTCCACCATTCTGGAAAATACTGGAAGGGACATGTAAAATAAGTAGCTCAGATCCCACCACGAGTAGGAGGTTCTTGGATTTCAGTAAGAATTTTATCAGGAAAGAAGGCCCTCAGTAACTCTGCTATTTGAACATTCAGAAGGGAAGCAAAATCAGCTTATACTGCACTGTTGTGTTTTGAATACTAATAATAATGAATTTGAAAACAAAAATGTTTGTTATGAAATATTTTAAGACTTTTAAATTTGGTCTTTTGTACTAGGTGGCAATGAAATTGCTGCTTCTGCTTCAGTCCTGGATTCAGGGATTTCTAAAGTAAGTGCCTTTTTGTACTGACAGAGGAAACATATATTACTCTGTTTCTGAATACTTTGAGACTTGACCAAGTGATTTTGCGTCTTTTTCTGCAGCAGCTGTCAATGTTTGCGTGGCCTGCAGCTTGTGCAAGGCACTTAGGATTAGCTTGAATTCCTCATTTGCCTACCTACGTTGCCTATGCTATGCTTTCATGTATTTTTAAAAATTATTTATCAGTTTCTGTCTTTCTGAAATGGGAGCCTGTTGGCTTCACCTTTAAATCTGTGAAGACATTTAAGTTTATAATTGTTGTAGGTTTTTTAAGGTTATTTTTATTTTCTCTTCTCCCAGATCTCCTTAAGTAATTCTGAAAGGCAGATTTGTAAAAGGTATGTTTCTGTTTCATACTAATATTGTATCATTAAGTTATATTAAGAAATTCTGCAGTAATTCAGTTATTTGTCATAAAGCCACAACTATAGGAACTTGTCCATTTATTGCCATGTTTTTCAGATATTGATGCTCTTGTTAAGCTGTATTCAAACAAAATATTTGCTTCAGTAATATTGGTAATGAAAGGCTACAGTGATTTTTTTGTTTGTTTTTTGTTGTGTACAGGCCTTGCATACTCATCTTAGATTCTCTGAAAGCTGGTTCCGTGCAGAAAACAGTTCAGGTTTTGAGAGAGTAAGTAACTGCAGTTTCTGTTTATTAGAAAGAGATACTGCTGGGCATATTTCTATGTTCAAAATACTTTTCTCTGTAAAGGTGTACATTTCTAATGCTAGAGGAAAATCCATAAAGAGCCACGACAAAGAAAATTGTAATAGCAATACAGAGGCTTGTGTGAAAAGCCTGTCTTTGTTCTGCAACCTAAATATAATGCAAAAATTGTAAATTGGACAGTTTTTTTGAAATTAAAAAAAAAAAAAAAATTGAAGGGGGGGGTGGGGTGTTGGGTTTTTTTATCCCCTCCAGTTCAGTAATGGAGGTTGTTTTTAAAGGCAGAAACCCAGATTCTTCAAAATGAATACTTTGAAATTTAAATGATTAATTTTCCAAACGGCTGGTCTTCATTTTTTTTGATGGAGCTTACAGAATTACAGTGCTAAGTCCACTCCTATCTATGTGTGAAAAAGTAGATGGTAGACTGAAGCTTTCTAAAAGCTTGATGTGTCAGTGTAATTATATTGGAATGGTATTGTTTGTTTTGAAAAGAGAGAGTAAAAGTATATTCAGTCTTTTATATGATTAGTATGTAAGTATTGGAAGAATGTCTTCAAACTTTCAGTACTTTTATAGGCTTGTAATAACTTTAACATCTATCAACAACTTTTTAAAAAGTTGCTAATATTGAATATTTGAAGCTAAACAGAATTGTGCTTTTTGTTCTCTGTTGTATTCACTTCACTGAAAGGAACAAAAATCTGTAAACCAAACAGTACATCCTTCTTGTAAAAGCAAATTCTTCAAAATACTATGTGAGGGTTAGATGAGAATCAGAAATTTTGTGAAACCTTTTCCCTAGAGAGGTCTCTGCATCATGTGTGTCTTGTCAGAAAGAGTGAAATAACAATTTTTTATTTTTTATTTTTTTAAATCTCAGTGGGATGTATTAACTTAGTGCTCTATTCTTTGAGCTACCCCTGGAGTTGAAATTCCAGAGAGGGTCATTTCCTGGAGTTCAGAGACATGTCATGAAAAGTCAGAAAGCAAAGAGGGGGTTTATGGTTTGTGAGATCAGAGAAGTTGGAAAGGAGACATCTGATGCCTTCAATTTGCAGTTACACCCTGAAAGCGGAAATGTGGAAAACTGATTCAGGGGTTCCATGACCTCTTGTTTCCTTGAGTTGGTTTTTGTTGTGTTTTGGGCAGTGGTCAGGCTCAAACAAATTAATTTTAAGGTCTGCAGTCATAGGTTCTTGCCGTTTCTAGGGAATGTGCTTCACTGATCTTTGAATTGTTTCATTTTTGCCTTCTTTTCAAAGTTGCCATTTTCCCCAAAAGTGTTTTGGGTGTTTTATGTATTTTTATTCTCGGAACTGCAAGGACTTGGGGCTTTTACAAATCAAACACAAGGTCTGACTTAATGTATATATTTTTTATTTCCTAAAGTCAGACCTTATGTTTGATTTTCACAATCCCTGAGCCTTTGCAACTCCGACTAAAGTCAGCAGAAAAGTATTAGGTAGCTGTTGCCTTTTAAAATCAGACCCTTTATGCTTACGATCCCATCTTCAAAATCAGTGGCCAGCCCAGAAGGTGGGGCCAGTGAATTGCTACTGGAGCACAAGAACAGTAGAAAAGTCTGATAACAAAGAAGTCATAGTCATTAAAGAAGTCTTGATATACCTTGTACACTAGGAGGTTGCAAGGGTTATATTGGTGCCATTGTAACTGAAGTTGTTTGTAAGGTGAATTCTAAGGGGGTTTTTTAATGGTTTGCTTAGGTTAGAAAACCACTGCTGGCCGTTCAGGATGAACCCAGGAAAAATCTTTGTGATAGGTAGGAAAGATTACTTGACTTCTTCCTTAGTTAAGGTTTAAAAATGTCCTGGTATCCTCATAGCTTGAAGAAACTCAGCACAGATAAGTGTTTGTTTTTAAATCATGTCATGCATCTTCCTGTTTTGTATATTAAGTATTATGTAGTAGTGATGCCTCTGTCATAGAATGTCATAGAATATTGGGTAGTGGAAATTGTGGTGTTCCTTGTATGATTTTTTTTGACAGATTCTGTGGAAGAAATTGATTAAAGCTATTTTAGCTTTTTCACCAGCTCTGGAACAATATTGAGTAGTACTCCAAAATGCATTGAGCTTGGGAGTTACTTCTCAAGTATTTAATCTGTTTGCTTTCTTTTGTAGGTACCTTGAAGTGGAATGGGAAGCTAAACGAAAAACACATCGAGAATTCAATAAATCAACAATGATTGACCTGTGTCCTAGAGTGCCTAAACAAGATAACAGCAGTGATTGTGGGGTCTATTTGCTGCAATATGCAGAAAGCTTCTTCCAGGTACAAATAGAAACTACCTTCCCCGGTCCCTAAAATCACCTTAAACCTGAAAAAACTATTTCTGAGGGAAATAGCCAGACACAAAAGCCTGTGATGCTCAACCTCAAAAGTGTCAAAGCCATTTGAGGAAGAGGAGATAAAACCCGTTCTTCAAGTAGTGACAGAGGTCTTTGTGTCTGGAGCACAGTTTATCATCTGTGTTTGTTAGCAAACATTTCTGACCTTGTAGTTTAATGTTGCTCTAACATCAACTCATTCAATATCCATAACTATTTAGGTGTGTTTGGAATCTATTTAGTTTACACATTTCTGGCCAACAAATGTTACAAAGGCATCTGTTCCATGCATCTCTTCTTGTAGCCTCTAAAGCTTGGTCAGCTTGTGCATTGACCTTTGAGTGGCTCTACAGGCTGCAGCTTCTGCAGGAAGGGGGGGAAGATCCTTAAAAGGGAAGGCACAGAGCTAAGGGAGCCTCTTTTTCCTGTTCAGCACATACCTTTGAACATCTGCAGACGCTGAGCTTCAAGTACTGTCTTTTAGGGGGTCCTCAACTCTTCCTCCCCCTGATCAGTGCACTGCCCTTTTGCTCTATCCTTTGAATGGCTCTGCTTGTTTGATGCTTATACATGTGGTCCACATTCTCTCTGAGAGTCCTGTGCATGGAAGGCCTTGTGTGGGACCTTGGCCAGTGGACAGATTTTTCTTCAGTGGTAGAACAGATCATTATTCCAAAGTGCCTGTACACTAATGCACACAGCGTGGGAAATAAACTTGGGGAATCAGAGATCTGTGTGCAGTTGCAGGGTTGTGATCTTGTTGAGATCACAGGGATGTGATGGGATAGCTCACATGACTGGGGTGCTGTGATGGATGGATACAGGCTTTTCTGGAAGGATAGGCTGGATGATGAGGAGGTAGAGTTGCCCTTTATGTAAGAGAGCGGCTGGAATGCATGGAGCTCTCCCTAGGGTTGGATGAGAAGACAACTGAGAGCTTATGGGTCGTGATTAAAGAGCAGATTAATATGAGTGACCTAGTAGTGCGTATCTGCTGTGGGTCACCTGATCACGTAGAACAAGTGGATGAGGCCTTCTACGGGCAGCTAGAAGCAGCCTCATGTTCACAGGCACTGGTCCCTGTGGGGACCTTCAACCACGCTGACATCTGCTGAAGGGACAACACAGAAGGACATAAGCAATCCAGGAGGTTCCTGGAGAGCATCGATGACAGTTTCCTGACCCAAATGATAGAGGAGCCAATGAGGAGAGGTGCTGTGCTGGACTGCATACTCACAAGCAAGGAAGGTCTGGTTGGGCATATAAGGGTCAAAGGCAGCCTTGGCTGCTGTGTCCATAAGATGGTGGAGTTCAGGATCATGAGAGGAAGGAACAGGGCAAAAAGCAAGATCACAAGCCTGGACTGTGGCCTCTTCAGGGATCTGCTTGGAAGAGTTCCATGGGATAAGGCCCTGGAGGGAAGAGGGGTCCAAGAAGACTGGTTGGTATTCAAGGAACACCACTTCCAAGCTAAAGAACAGTTTATTCAAACAAGCAGGAAGTCAAGCAGAGATGCCAGGAGGCCTGCATGGATGGCGGAGCAGCTCCTGACAAAAGTCAAAACATAAAAAGGAAGTATACAGAACACAGAAGCAGGGACAGTTAGCCTGGGAAGAATATAGAGACACTGTCCAAGCACGCAGAGGCATAATTCAGAAAGCCACTGGAGTTTAATCTGGTGAGGAATGTCAAGGACAACAAGAAGGGCTTCTATAATTACATAAGCAGCAAAAGGAGGAGTAGGGAAGATGTAGACTGACTGCTGAATGGGGCAAGGGCGCTGGTGACGTAGGATGTGGAAAAGGCTGAGCTTCTGAATACCTTCTTCATTTCACTCTTTACTAACAAGGCTGGCTTTCAGGAGTCCCAGGCCCTAGAGACTGGGGAAAAGACTGGAGCAAGGAAGACCGCTGATGGAAGAGGATCAAGCAAGGGAATACTTAAACTGGACATTCATGAAAGTCCATGAGCCCTAGTGGGATGCTCCCATGAGTGCTGAGGAAGCTGGCTGATATCATTGTGAGACCACTTTTTATAATCTTTGAATGGTTGTGGCAATCGGGAGAGGACTGGAGGAATAGAAATGTCACTCCTATCTTCAAAAAAGGCAGGAAGGAGGACCTGGGGAATGACAGGCTGTTCAGCCTCACCTTGATCCCTGGGAACGTGGAGCAACTAATCCTGGAAACCATATCCAGACATGTGAGGACAAGAAGGGGATTGAGAATAGTCAGAATGGATTCACAAAGGCGGTGGGGGAGTCATACTTGACCAACCTGATAATATTCTATGATGAAATGACTGACTTGGTAGATGAGGGGAGAGCAGTGGGTATTATCTGCCTGGACTTCAGCGAAGCCTTTGACACTGTCTCCCATAAGATACTCAGAGAAACTGATGGACTATGGACTGCATGAGCAGACAGTGAGTTGGATTGAAAACTGGCTGACTAGATGACTCCCAAGGGTGATGTTTAGTGGCGGTTGCTCTAGTTGGAGGCTAGTAACTAGTGGTGTACCCCAGGAGTCAATACTGTGTCCAGTCCTGTTAACATCTTCATTATTGATCTGGATGTTGGGACAGAGTGCACCCTCAGCAAGTTCACAGGTGCCACAAAACTGGGAGGAGGGGCTGATAACACCAGAGGATTATGCTGCCATCCAGAGGGACCTCAAGACTCTGGAGAATGGGCTGACAGGAACCCATGAAGTTCAACAAGAATTGTAGAGTCCCGTGCCCAGGGAGTAGCAACCTCAGGCATCAATATATGCTGGAGGTCACCCAGCTGGAAAGAAGCTTTGCTGAAAGGGACCTAAGGGTCCTGGTGGACACCAAGTCAAACATGTGTTAGCAGTGTGTCCTTGAGGCAAAGAAGGATAGCAGTATCCTGGTTTATGTTAGGAGGACTATTGTCAGCAGTTCGAGGGACGTCATCATTCCCCTCTTCTCAGTGCTGTGTCCGGTTCTGGTCTCCTCAGTACAAGAGAGAGATGAAGCTATTGGAGCAAGTCCGGCAAAGGGTCACAAAGATGATTAAGGTATGCAGCATCTCTCCTGTGAGGAAAGGTTGAGAGAGCTGGGACTCTGAGAGAAAGCTCGGGGCGGGGGGGGATCTTATCGATGTGTACAAGGGTGGAAAATGGACAGAGCCCTCTTTTCAGTGGTGCCCAGTGACAGGACAAGAGACAATGCATACAAACTTAAACAAAGGAGGTTCCTCTGAACGTAAGGAAATCACTTTTTTTTTACTGTGAGGGTGACCAAGTGCTGGTACAGTTTGACCATAGAGGTTGTGCAGTGTCTCACCTTGGGGTTATTCAAAAGCTGTCTGGATGTGGTCCTGGCAACTGGCTGTAGGTGGCCCTGCTTGAGCAGGGGGGTTGGACCAGATGACCTCCAGAAGTTCCTTTAATCCTCAACCGTTCTGTGATAGATGAGTTGAGCTCTTGTGTAGGTGGGAAATGAAACTCTTTACCAGTGCAGTTGAACTGCCCACTCTCTAACAGTGGGGTCATGTTCTGCATACAGGTGCAAGGCCAGGACAAGGTGGTTGTAATTTGTCCTAAACATAGCAGGGCTCATAGACCACAAATCATGATGTGTTTTTTGCTTTGCTTTTTCATTTTATCATAAAGTACTTTATCCAGAGGAAGGAGAAGATGAAATATAAACATGGCAAAAGAATGAAGAGGGAAAGTGTTGTTATAGAGACGGACACGACACTCAATATCCAGTTACAGCAATTGTCCCTCTTTATTTTACAAGCAGTGCTCTTTTATATCCTCTTAGCTGGTTGCTTATCTGTGCATATATTCTAACATTCTATTTTTGCCCAATCGACTCACATCACACACCATTCAGCCAATACAATTGTTGATCACAAGCTGTTCATGCTCTGGGAAAAGCCAGGATGTTTGCCACCCCTTATCTTGTTTGCTCGGATCTTCTCAGGATTCTTCTGTCTCCTCAAGGGTACACGGGTATCTGTTCAGGGTCAGTGTTAAACTTGTATTTTGATCCCTTGGACCAGCCGAGGTCTCCTACAGGAAAGAGAGAAAAAATTGACTTTGGCAAATCAGATGTGGTGTTGTGGTCTTACTGCCAAAGCTGCCAGCATCTCTCAGCCGTTTCAATTTGCTGTCCTCTTTTGTTCTGAATTCTCCTCCTCTCATGTCCTGCTAAAACTGCTGGCAGTGTTCTTGCTTCTTTGTTCTTCTATCAGACAGACCAGCTCATGACAGAAAAACACATGCTTGAGGCAGTAAAAACTCATCATGCTTAACTGCTGTATGCTTGGTCCTTCCCTATAGTGTGATTGTACGTGTGTGTTTTGTGACCAAAGTGCATCTATCCCTCGCTGGATATCAAGAGTATGTCTAATTGTATCATAGTACATGGAATCTGCCTTGAATATATGCTTATACTGCTGTATCTTTAAGAGAAGTATGGTGACCAGTTTGGTGTTTACCATGAGTAGCTTGTGGTAAGGGTGTGTATATATGTGATCACCATGGAGGAACTGGAATTTGATGTTGAAACCCGTTACTGTCTCATGGAAACTTGTTTGTGCCTCCTTGGTCTCAGCAGTAATGGAAGGGTTTGAAATTCTTTTTGAGGGTTGCTTTAGGAAATTCATGCTGTAAATATTCCTTTTTCTGTTACCAGAATCCCATCGTGAACTTTGAACAGCCACTGCATCTGGAGAAGTGGTTCCCTCGTCAGCTGATCAGAAGCAAAAGAGAAGAAATTCGAGACCTGATCTTGCAACTACACTTTCAACAGCGTAGTGGCAGCAGCAGCTAATAAATCTGATAAGCCAGACCTGGCAAAGAACACTGCTGTATAGAGTAACTGGAACTCTGCTTAGCAGCATTTGGGCTCTTTCTGCCTTGCAAGGAAGAAGAAAAACAAACCAACCAACCAACCAAACAAAAAGAACCAAAAGAAGTATTTTCTTTCTTCAGTGTGTATTTATTTACAGAATTTTTTTCATTTGGGTTGTGTGGTCATAGAATGCAGTTGCAGGAGGAAAGGAGAAGGTTGTATATAGATGTGTAAATATGTAAGTTATAGCTAATACATAAGGCTTGCTAACTGATTCTTTACTTGGAATATGAAAGCTGCGTACAGGTATGTGCCACAAGGATGTAAAAATATTTTCATCTTTTGAAGCCTATTCTGTACAATTCTTTATAAACATGGATGATTATGTAGGAGTCTGGCCTGAAGACAGGATTTTGACCCTATACTATGTCTCTTCTGATTTTGCAGCTCATACAGATAGAATAAATACTATGTATTGTTTTAATTTAAGAATCTAATATTGACTCTCTTTAGAGATGTATTTTTTGTTTTGTTTCTGATTATATACAGAAGTAGTCTGCATGTGTCAGAAAATTCTGCCAAGATTTGAGGCCGCTGAATTTTGGTGTTTTTATTTGTATTTTTTCCCTCCCTAGCTCTTTCATCATAAAAAATTTGCTTGAGAGTGACCATTGAAATCTTTTAAAGTTGAGAGTAGATTTTTTTTAAATTATTTTTTATTATCAGATATTAGAAGAAATCTTGCTGTCAAAGTACATGCCAAGATAAGACATGTAGGCAGTAGATTTTTTTTAATGCTATTCACCTTATTTTTGGGAGTTACGCCTGCAAATCTAATGGCATCACTTGCATTAGAAAGGCAAGCAGTTGTGGCTCAACAGCCTCAAAAGTTTGAGGTGTTTTACTGAAAAATAAGGCCATTTTCATTCAAAAAGGTCGTTATGTTACACATGTGTTACACATGTGTTTAAGGACTTATACTTTTCTCAGCAGCATTGAGTAAAGATGCCCCAATATTTCAGTGTTTGAACTTGGACTTGATTTGATAAACTAGCACAAGTTTATTGTTGTCTTAATACGTATTTATGTAGTTTTGCTTTAAACAGTGATCGCATAAAGCTTCAAACAAACATTTTGACGTGCACACTTCTTATGTAGTTACTGCACGATAGAAGGTGACTGTTTTAAGAGGATGCTTCTCACTGTAAGTAAACTTCAGTCTGATCATACCTTTCAGAAGGACCATGTGTCAGATAACCACCAAAACCACCTGTGTCACAAACCTATCTACAAAACCAGAGCTCTTAAAGCTGGAAGTAGGCTAGAGAGTTAAAATAAAAATTGAGGGCAACTGAAAGATGCGAACATTTTTATGGCATTGCAGAATTCTCAGGGCCCCTTCCCTCAAGGCAACTCTGAAACCTGGCATTTGGAAAATCCAGTTATTACCTCAGGTTCTGTACAGTCATCAAAAAAAATCCCCCACCATTGTTTCTCAAACCAGGAAGCATTCTTTCTGGAGAAGAGAGGCAATTTTAAAACAAAATAATTTGCTGAGCACAGTTACCTTCTGTATAGCTGTGAGCAGCCTAGTGCAATTACCGTGTGGGTTTTGTCTTTGTTTCTACTTTAATTCTGTAGTTTATCACTACCCCCCACCACCACCACCACCCCCAACATCTGTCCCCCTCATCCCAGAGTTTTTGTGTCTTTCATCACCTAAATCACATCATCAGCATTACTTACAGGGATAATGTGTGTATTTATTATCAGATAGATGAAAGATAAAATGCAGAAATGTGTGCCCTTTCTCTACACCTTTTCAATTGATGCATATTTTCAGTGTTCCCTTATGACAAATAGTTTGGGCTTTTTCTTATGGTAAAGTTAGTTTTTATCATAATTTGTTATTTTTTAAATTGAGTGGTTTATAGACATTTAAAAGCAAAAGCCATGTATAAACTTTTCTAAATTGGTTTTATAACATTAAAGGATTGCCTTTGTAGATTTGTTAGAGATGTGCTATGAGAATGTCAATACTTTTGATATTAAAATTATCTCCAGAAGCTGCTGAATGTGATTGTTACCATTCTTTTCCCAGCTGCTGCAAATAGCCAGTGAGCTAAGTGTAAGGTAGCCCATCTTACTGCTTTTAAGATATATACACAGTACTTCTCTCTCAACCCAAATTTGTATCAGAGTGATTATTTGTTCTCCGGTCCTTATAAAGGCTTACAGCTTCTTGTGGCCAGCAAGGCTGCTTTTTGACTCAGGAGCCTTACAGTTGTTTTCTGTAGTCAGGCTAACAGTCCTGACAGCTTGAGTGACTCGCCGGGGAAATGCTTGGGTCCACCAGCTGCAACCCACCCCATCCCAGCCATTTGCATTTGACAGGTATTTGATGGTCAAATGGAAAAAGTTATACTCCAGGTACCTTCATGCTTCCATTTTAGTTGCTAGAACTCCCCAAAGATAACTTTGAGCATGTATAAGGCACCAGACTGACTCCAGGACCTTTTTGCACATCTCCTGCATCTCCATTTCCTGTATTAATTCCTGTTGAACTGAAAAGGTGGAGTGGCATAATACTTTTCCTCCCAAACCAATCTTTGTAAGGCTGTTTACCCTACACCATGTAGTTTTGGTTTCTAGGCAATGAATTGTGCTCAGAGTGTTCAATGTAGCTGTCAGTTTCTTTAAAAGAAACTGCTATGTCCTGGCTGTGTGGGACCAGAAACTGGCATCCATGAAGAAGTCTAAGTCATGGAGGTCCATTTAAGGTACTGTTGGCAGGCATGACACAAAAAACAAGGTGGGAGAGAAAGTAACTTGTAGGAAGTAAATTGTCCAGGAAAAATATGAAAGAACCCTAGTTCTCATCAAGAACTGGAGAAGCGAATCATGAAAACTGCAAGTGTGCTTTTCATAAAGTGTCTGTGGACTGCTGTGTTTTTCCTCTGGAATTGCAGGTATAGATTCATTGCAGGCCATCTCTCCTTTCTGGTACTCGCCTCCTAGAATTTGACCCTGAAATGAGCTTGCAGTACTCAGTAAGTACTACGCCTTACAAAATAAAAAAGACTTAAAAGCCACAGTAGTAACACTTCTATCATGGTTATGACAGGGAAGCAGAATGTTGCTTCTGGCAAACCTCCCTACTCTCCCCCCCTGCCCCCCCCC